ATATATCCAATACATATTTATGATGATTTTTCTTACAAAATGATCATTCAATGTCATTCACAAACAACCACAACATACAAAAATCATACTACGTATATAATTTCAATTTAGTATTAATCATACTAAGGAAATTTGATCACAATATCATTTTACACTAGCAAAATTCAAAAAAGTTGGTAACAAAGCTGCATTTCAGTTTTAAATATGTTAATAATATTTTCTACTAAATGCTAAATACTACTACGTAGTTGCTTCGCAGAAAAACCAAGCCCAACGCTCTCGAATCTCGTTGATATCTTCTTCAGGATCTTGAACGTTGAATGTCTACAAGTTGAATAAAAGCAATAAACGAGTAAATAATAATGAAGTAGAAGAAATAAACACAAAAATACAATGATCTTATATTTAATCACCTCCATCCGCATGAATCCACAACACTAGCACAAATAATAGTTGACATGTGCCGCATCACATAGTAACCACATTCGTAACTTCCCCTTTGCATTTGACACTATAAATAATTAAAGGTACCAAGTCAATAATATTACATACTATAAAATGAACAACAACACAGCCTTGATTAAATAAATTGAAACTTAAATCAATAAAATCACAAATTGAAATACCAATAAACTACAAACTAGAAAGCTAATAAGGTGCAAACTGAAAAAAAGAGGAAATATTAAATAAAGTGAATATTTGAAATGTATTTTTTTTGTATAAGACAAAGCATAATTCATTTTATCACTTCACTTAATTCAATATAATCAAACAATTTTAGCTGCAAACTGAATGTATAAACTTCAAATTGAATTAATAGATTGCACCTTGACTAATAAAATCAACAATTGGATGCACTGCACTCTTTTTTCCTTCATCGGGTTTTTATCCCATTAAGTTTTTCCTGATAAGGTTTTTAACGAGACAGTACATCCAAATACAACGACATTATAAATCATAATCTTTACCCCTTAATTTTTTTTTGACCCGCGAAACCACCTTGAAGGTGGGGTAAATGACGGGTGACATTTACCTAGATTTATTACCAAAGTGAAGAACCAAATTTAAGTGTTACAATGCAACAGGAAGGGTACAAATAACACCCCCCAACGACTTCTATTATCTCAATTTCGCCTCTAGAAGAACACCCCCCTTCGAGCAGCGGTAAAAATAACAATTCACCAACGGGAGACCCCTTTCACAATGCTACAGATGCTACACTTATCAAGGACTCAGAAAAGCTCAGTTTTTTTGGACAGGAAGGGTTTGACTGAATCAAAATTGAGTCAAAAATATTCAAATTTGCAACGAGGAATAATGAAATCATTATTCTTGAAATAAAAAAAAACGATGATGCACAAGATTTCTTTCAGATTGGACCGGTGCCCTAAAATTATCCAGTTCATTTCACAAATTTCCAATGCTAATTGCAATCAACGCAAAAAAAATTGGAGCTATCACGATCTCCTCAGAAATCAACAAAGCTGGCAGCTTCTTGCAAAGGAAAAGGGGAGCTTCATTCTTATCCCCATGGGGCCCCAAAAATCCAGCATGTTTAAATTCATTACTATCCTTTCTAATTTTGCAGGGTTCCAAAAGTCTATGCAGGACGACTCGATCTCCTTTCAACATAAGAGTACTTTTGAAACAAAGGATCCTACATCCATATCTAAATTGATTTTTAATTTCCAAATTGAGGCAGCAAGTACCGAGAAGCAATTGATATACTCTCTAGAGAAACAACCCAAATTGACACCAATTCAGGCTTACTCGGACGCCTCTAATAGTTTTGACTACTCTAATGACTCCTTCTCAGACGATTATTTGGGACATGCAACCGAAAGCGATCGTCGTCCTCTTATATCAAACCAGGAAGAAATTAGGAACTCGAAATTCAATAGAGCGATTTGCCAAAAAGCAAATTTCGTTACCACGGAAAACTACATACCAACAGAGAATCTGAACATGCAACTTAAGATTTATATGAAATCTCAGAAGAATAAGAGACGCCACAGCATGACGACTAGATCTCAGTCCAGAGATTTTCCTTGGGATTAGCTTTACTCTTTTGGTTCTTTTTTATTTATTTTCTTTACTTCGACTTTCTTTTTCTCGCATTGTACTACTTTTGGTTATCAATAAAATCTTATTTCCTTAAAAAAGGAATGGTACAAAAACAAAAGGGCCGTATACAATGAAAAGAAAAAATCGGTAAAAAGCTTGGTGGGCCGAGTGGGTTCCGTTTTTTGCTTCCGTCCAAAGGGAATTATTCTTTGGAGGGATTAGGGTCAGATAGGGCCTCGAACTTGAAAAAAAATGTCAAATAAGGCCATATTTAGGATGCTCTGTCCGGCCGACGCCATTTGGGGCGGTTCCCGGTGGATTTGTTTGATGAATTTTTTTGAGAATCTTATTCATTAAGTCTAGTTTACTCATATCAAATTTGAATTAAAAATTCAATCGGGAAGACATTCAAATGAATTCTTGAAGATAACTGTGCAATTAAAAGCGCAGTTATCTTCAAGAATTCATTTGAATGCCTTCCCGATTGAATTGTTACTTCAAATTTGATATGAGTAAACTAGACTTAATGAATAAGATTCTCAAAAAATTTCATCAAAAAAATCCACCGGGAACCGCCCCAAATGGCGTCAGCCGGACATAGCATCCTAAATATGGCCTTATTTGACATTTTTTTCCAAGTTCGAGGCCCTATCTGACCCTTAAGATGCTATGTGTACACGCCGGGTTACACGGCGGTGTACACATCTTAAAAAGCCCCACCCCCTCTTTCTAACCCACCCCACTTTTGAATTAATCCTCCCCACTTCCCTCTCACTCCCCTCTTTCCTCTCCCTCCCTGCGCCCAAATTCCCTCTCCTTCTCTTCCTCTTTTCTTTTTTCTTCTCTCCCTCCCTGCACCCAACTTCCTTCTCCCTCTTTTCCTCTTTACTTTTTTCTTTTCTCCCCCTCCCTGCACCCAACATTCTTCAGCCTCTTTTCCTCTTTCCTTCTCCCTCGTAAATAACTCCTCTCCCTTTCTCCATCTTTTTTCTTTTCTTGTTTTCTTCATTTCAAAAGCTCTCACTTTTTTTGCAGATCTGAATCCGTACAGAAAAATAAGAGGAGTCACAATTGAATCTACTTTGCTCTCTCAAATATTATTCATGAGGTAATACTTTATTTCATATTTTTTTTGCATTTAGGGTTATATTTTTTCCTTTTTTTAATTTTATTTATACAAAATATGTTGTGGTGATGTTGATGAATGTTTATTACAATATAATATTAGTATGGATTTGTTATAATTTAAAATTTTATTCAACCATTATAGCTCACTTTTATGCCTATTAAGTGTTTGTTGAAATGTTTCAATGAGATGTAACTATGTATAATTGATTTTTAGCTTTAATTCAGTTTATGGTTTTACTGATATGTCTGTGTAGTGTGTTGTTATATGTCTGTGCATTTTTTAGTTGTCTGTGCGTTTTACCTGAGACGTCTGTGTAGTTTGTTGTTATACGTTTGTGGATTTTATAGTTGTCTTTATGGTTTTCCTGAGACGTCTGTGTAGTGTGTTGTTATATGTTTATGCATTTTTTAGTTGTCTGTGCATTTTACCTGAGACGTCTGTGTAGTTTGTGTTATACGTTTGTGGATTTTATAGTTATCTTTATGGTTTACCTGAGACGTCTGTGTAGTGTGTTGTTATATGTTTATGCATTTTTAGTTGTCTGTGCGTTTTACCTGAGACATCTGTGTAGTTTGTTGTTATACGTTTGTGGATTTTATAGTTATCTTTATGGTTTTCCTGAGACGTCTGTGTAGTGTGTTGTTATATGTTTATGCATTTTTTAGTTGTCTGTGCGTTTTACCTGAGACGTCTGTGTAGTTTGTTGTTATACGTTTGTGGATTTTATAGTTATCTTTATGGTTTTCCTGAGACGTCTGTGTAGTGCGTTGTTATATGTTTATGCATTTTTTAGTTGTCTGTGCGTTTTACCTGAGACGTCTGTGTAGTTTGTTGTTATACGTTTGTGCTTTTTTGAAGTCTCTACACAGACAATATTTTTGAACGTTTTTGCAAATATGTTGTAAAATGTATGCATTTGAATGGAATTGGGTCTGTTCTTGTGCACGTTCTTTAGGCTTATATAACTTTAAATATAGCTTTATTATGTTTTTAGGCGGCACATATAAGCCTAAATGGATGCACATTCAGGTTTAATAGTTGTAATGATTTTTATTTTCTTGACAGGAACTATTTATGCTCTTTGCATGGCGGGGATAATGAACCTTCGAAACATGTGTTTACATGTTTGCATGAGAGCTTCAAAGCAAAGGATAATAAAGGATTTATGTTTGTAATTACTTATATTGTAAATTTAATGTTTTTACATTTGGAATGATATTGTATTTGGAGTAAAGTTAAAGTTTTTACATTTAGAATGATATTGTATTTGGAGTGATTTTATTCTCAAAGATGTGTGTTTTTGTCGTGTGAAAAAGAAAACGACTTTCAATATTGGTGAAGTAAATTGTGTTTTTAAACAATGTTGAATTATGAAAGGTGAATTAGTAATCTTACTCTCATTATGGATGTAAATCATGCAAAATATATGTGTATTTGTAACCAAACACTACATATCATGTTCACAGACAACTTCACTTACCACATAAGCCCATTTCTATGGCTATTGTATGTGACTGACACATTTGTCTAGTTGACATACAATTCTACTTAAAACATTAACCCATTCTAGTAACTATTGTTTGTGACCAGACATGTAATATCATATTCATCTAAACTCTTCATCTAACAGACAAAATACATGAACAGACAATGTTTTGTGTACACCAAGAATGGCCCAATTTAGTCTTTTGGTTCAAAGATTATGTTACCTTGAAATTTGAAGACTTGTGAGTTTGTCCCTTTTTTCAAAATATTACAATCCAAATTCCAAATACTGGTATTAGACTAATTAGAGTGGCAATATCATTTCGGCTCTAATTCAACCATTCCATCATTCCATGTTTCAAATTTCAAATACTAGAACTAAAAATCCCATTCCAAATGTTGCATCGAAACATGAGACGCCTTGAGAAAGTAAATGAACTGATGTGTAGCAATAAGAGTATTCAAGGAACAGTAAAAAAAGAGTATTTAAGGAAATGCATAATACAAAGCTTAAACCACAAGAATGGGCATCATAAGAAGTTCATCAGGGGCATAAAGCAGCTCAGTACAAAACAATAAGTTACATAATACATACACCATTGTTCTAGCTTTTAAATAAACTACCCAAAATCCAGGGAGGGGATTGTCACTATGAGAAAAGACGTATAACAAAATCACTGATCTTTAAGTTGTCTTCTACTATTGGCTCCAACCTGATTAGCATTAGCTGGTGCAACCTTTGCCGGCGATGAGCGCTCGGCTTGAGAGAATTTTATCAGTATTTGCATAAGAACAGTAATGACAAGCAGGAGGACTGCTGAAATTGTTAGACCTTTCCATGAAGACAAAAGTGAAGAGGAGTGGACAAATTTTACTGCCCCTACAATTAGCAGACATGCCCAGGATACAACCACCTGTTATATCATAGGAGATTAATTACCATATGCAACCTATAGAATAGCAAATTAGGGACAACTATATAAGGTTGTGTATCTTACAGCAAGTGATTTCACTGGTCTGCCAAGATCTCGCTGCAATTCTCGTCCAAACGTGTCTTCAGCATTATGTTTGTCCAATAAATTGTCCTGATTGTTAAAATGATACATAATGTGATTCCGAGTTTGCATATGTCATTCACGATCACACAAATTGAATTTTTTTACTCTTATAATGAGTGAAATCAATGATGCAACTACAGAAAGGACAAACCTTTGCGACAAAAACATCTTTACACCACTGTGCAACAGCTTCATCATTTTCTGGCAGATCATTCATTAGGTGCCGCTGGAGGTGAACATGGACCTGCACCCGTTTGGTTAATAATAGTAATATTAGCAGTAGCAGTGATCATAAAAATAACAATAAGGAAAATAATAGTGGTAGTATATCAAAAGTATTTGAGATTTTGAGAGCCCAAATAAAAGTAAAGCACTGAATGTCGTATTATAACAATGACCAAATGTGTGTGTGTGTGCATGTCTAGTGAAAAGTTATGTACGGGTATAATTTATTGAAAACTTTCCCCTAGTAGTCCCACAATATTAGGCCAATTCCATGTTTGGTCTCCAGTTTTCATTTCCCACTATGGGGTCACATCTATGGATTTCTTGCCACTTTTGGTTTGTGTGACCACTTATTCCTTCAACTTTCATTTAAGTGGCTGGAAAGAACCAAAATAGCAAGAAAGTATTAGACACACACCATAAAGTAAAAAATACAACATCTGGATGAAAATGGGAATGGCTAATATTCATGGGACCTAAAAGTGGAACATTTTCTAATCCATATTCACAACAAGGATGACCAAGAAATTAAATCACATGAGGATTCCCTAATTCAACATTTCGGATAATCAAATGAAATGACATTATCGTGTTATTACAAATAAAGCTCCCCAAGCTGAACCACACCCATCAGCATGAATCAAATGAGAGAAAATGACTCGAGAAAGAAACAGTGTCTTAATAAACCAGATAAACAATAGAACCAAAACTCAAACAGCCCCGAGTACAAAATCATATATCTTGGTCTAGCTCTTTAGATCAGCCAACTGTGGCCAAGATTGCTCGGGATGGATTTAAATAACTCACAGCCTCACCTTTTCAGGACGGGTCAAAAGATTTCACAACATCAAACTTCTTATAGATTGTGTGTCTTACCACAGAGGATTCCCCCTTGAACATCCGTAGCATTGTAGGTGGTGAAGAACTCTTAGGAATGGCCACTGTCATCTCATAAATTGCAGGAACAAATGATCGCATGTGACTAACAGCCGTAACAAATCCCTGAAGGCAATGAAAGAATGCATACAACGGAGACTTCATAAAAACAAATATAAATAGGATTTAAAATTGAACTAGGCAAGGATTTAAAAAACAACTCAGAGGCATCAATCCAAGCAACACACTCCAAACACTAAAATACAATAGTGTCTTATAAAAAATGATAAAACAAAACTTTAAAGACAGACAAAACGTGAATTAGTTGTAAGGGCGACATAGAAAGCATTAGAAAAAACATTGAAAAGGTTAATGTAGGTTTTAGTTGGACTGAAATTTGTTGGTGGTCTAGTCTGTTTAAGTCTAGTCTGGTATGGTCTGAACTGGTCTGGTAAATGTCTGGTCTTTGTGTGTTTTATAACTATGGAAGTCAGGTCTGGTCTGGTTTGTTTGAGTCTAGTCTGGTCTTTTTTAAGTCTGGGACTGAAAACAGTCAAAGCAAAAACATCTTCAATTAGGCAACCCATAAAACAAAGCAAAACATATTTTCTATAACCAACATGTTTGGGCATAGAAAACCAAATAATCAAATTCCAAAGAAATACATCAAAAGTCACACTATATAATGAGTGTATATGCGAATCATTGACAGCAACAAAACTCAGGGTTACATGCAAGGATAGACACTATATTCTGAAAAGTTAATATACAATAGTTACCTTTGTACGAGGGATTAGAACATTCCTTGGAACAGGTAAACCTGCAGAGGCAGCATACTCTTGAGCAGCTAAAAGTTTTGCCTGCGTGAAGCGAGTGCCCTCAACAAAAAGTGCTAGCCAAAAGGGGAGTGGATAATCATGTAACCGTTGAAGACCTGACTGCAAGTAAGATCCCACAAAGATCACTTAAATCAATATGTGAGTACGAATCAAAACCAAGAACCGAGTATATGGTATATATACGTGTGCAGCTCACTTTTCAAGCATACCTTTAATGTGCTTTCATCTTTGGCCCAACTTCTTTCAAGAAAAAGATACTCCGAAAACCACATGGACCACCCAATAACCTACAAATTATTGGACCACCCAATAATATACCTCTAAAGCTGTGTGCATCAAAATATATGAAAATTTTCAAATAAGCACTGTTTCATTGGGGGGATTACAAAAAAAAGTTCAAACTTTTTTCAGAAGCTTATTTCAGCAACATCTCACAAATAGGTTAATAAGATCAATGAACTTTTTAGATATAATAATTTAAACCTATTTCTTTTAGATAATGTATCTTTATTGTCGGTTTGCATTTCAAAGCTAGCTTATGGACTACCTCAACAAAAAAAACTAATATTGATGTCAACTAGCTCTTTAGTTATCAGCTCGCTAGTAGCCTTGGCAAACAAACTCTGTTAAAGTTTGAAGTCTAGTCACCTAAAAACTCACCTAAACACTGTTGTATCTGAAATCCAGAATTGAAAAAAAAAGGTGCATCAGAAATCAGAATTCTGTAGAGAAATTCAATGGACCCAAATTACAGTAGGGAAAAGGCTGAAAAGCTCAACTAAAAACTTACAGGAAGGAGTTTTGATGATTTCTTCATTACAGCTAATGTGCTGCCAAGGCAACCTGATCGCTGCAAATGGTAAAGTCAAGGTTTGATAAAGCTCCATCTAATTTGATATCAGAGGGTGCATAAGCATATACTTTTACCTCCAGCACATGCATATGCACATTGATACACAGTTGGAAAGAATAAACCATATGCCGTATACATGAATTTATTCAAAGAATATAAACAAATACATTTGCATATGTTTGCAAAATATAGACGCATATACTAAATAAAATAATGAACTATAAAACAAACCTGAGCTAATACCCATCCAACCAGCCAATCTATGTCACTTTTGTGGTTCGATATTACAAGAGCATGTTCCTTACCTGGAAAAATTAACAGTGTGCTGCATATAAATCCCGGATGAATGAACAAGGCAGCTTTAAGTATAATCTCACATACTCCGTTTTAAATAAAATAAAAGCTTACCCATCAGTTTAAGTGTCTCAGGGTCCGTGAACAGTTTAATCTGCACCATCAGATTTCAAATGTCACAAACAGAATTGAGAAATTATAAAGGAACATAAATTAGCATCGATTACAGGTAGTGACTGCACCACAGGGTTTCTATACTTTCTTCCCAAAAGTGGCACATTATGGTCAAAATGTGGCACTCCATACAACATTTGCAAATAAAAGGTGTGAGAATTCATCAGTACCTTGATACCCGCCCACCAGTCAACAAGCCATACAAGCTCAAGCCACAGCAATTCTGCAAACACCCTGTTAATCCTCCTGTATATGTTCTTCGATAATGGCCGAATAAGTATGAAGCATATCGCCTGCCAATTATTTTAAAATAATAAATGTTAACAAAAATAGTAATAGTGTAATAATAGTAATACAAAACACAATAGAGCCTATTAAGCAATAATAATTAACTTAAGCAATACTGTTGCATATTCATATATCCGATATCGGAAATGGATGTTGAAAAGAGATAGACCATTTTAAACATTATTACTACAATGTAATAATATCATTAAACCCCCTCAAAATATCGATCCAAATCACTCCGCTGATCATTAATGCACAGCCTAACAGAGTAGAACTGCAAATAATTCTTATTTCGTAGATTCAAAATATCCGCAGGCAGAATATGGAACACCAAACGTGATAACCCCAGAGCCAGGTCTAATCCGTTGAGGAAACCCAATCGGGAGTGTGCGAAGATAATTGATTACCTGAATGAGATTAGTGAAGAGACCAGATATGAAGAAGAGAACACCCAACGGGACGATAACAGCTGCAGCTGCAATCGCCATGGCCGACAGGCCGGGATTTCTACTCTGCCGAGAAACAGTGTTGCGTGTGTGTAGACGGAGATTTAAGTGCGCAGAATCGGCGGATATTTTTAGTTAGAGATGAAACGAAAAGACGAAATGGATTAATTTCATTTCAAGTTTTCCTTTATCTCTATAAAAATAATGAAGCATTTAATTCCGCCACCGATATTTCAATGAACTGTACTCGAGTCCATGAAGTTTTTATCAAACTCCAAAGGTGTTTGTCTTTTATCGAGTTATTATATCGTTGGAGTCGCCATGGCACATTAACCATTACTCCCGCACCTAAAATGGTGTTATTCAATTTTAAACTTTAGTTTTAAAAAAGGCAAACAGTATCTATACTTAAATAGATCAGATCAGATCAGACTGGACTTTTATAAATAAAATACATAGAAACCAGACATTAACCAGACAAAGCTAGAGTACTAGACCATACCAGCAAATTTCAATCCAAGTAAAAACATCATAACTCAACATTTTTCGTGGCGTAAATCTCGTACTGAAATCTAACTTCTGATGCTACGAAATGTAATCTTAATTAATGACAAATGTAACTTGTTCACGGAAGTATAACTCGCGGCTCACTCCAGTAGTCAATCTATCACCTTTCATATATGAAATGTAAATCGCACGTGCCTAAAATGTAACTTCAAACAAGTCGAAATGTAAATCGTGCGTATACAAAATGTAACTTGTTGAGACATGTCAAAATTTAATTCGCGCATGTGAACATATAACTCGTGCACATGATGATGTGCACAAGAAAATATAACTCGCGCACACAAAGATGTAAATCGTGTCTAAGAAAATGTATCATATATTATTAAATGTAACTCTAGAAAAACACTCCAGCAATCGTGTTTAAATATAACTCGCACATATGGATGTAAATCGCATATATAAAATATAATCTTATATATTTTAGGAAATATAAATCTAAACAAACTCAACGCTTTAAAAAACCACTAAAACTTATAAAAGGAATAAAAAAGTAGTCCCTCCGTCCTGCAAAATAGTTCCTGATTTGACTTGGATCGGAGTTTAAGAAAGCGGGGATAAAGTGATAATGCATGATTGTGGTTGAGTAAGAAAAATGTAAATGGATGTTAGCCACACAAATTTTCCAAAAAGGAAATGAGAGAAACAAAAAAGTATTTCCCTCTTTCCAAATGTATTATTCTCAAATAAAAAGGGATATGTTTCCTCATCTTCTCCTCTCTTTCCCTCCTACAACTTACCTTCAAAGCCTTTCACTCTCCTACCCCAAACTCCCAAACATACACTTACATAGTTAAAACTAGTATGTATTTTATACCCCGAGTTAGAATTTGAAGGGGAAGGGAAGTTATGGAGAATTCGTGACTCTTCATTTCTTGTTTGGGAGTTTAAAATTTGGAGAGTGGATTTTTTGGATCTTGCAATCATTCATAACTCTTCAGATGTTCATTTTTTAAGTATCTTCAAATGAGGGTTTTTGGAGTACATACAACAAATTAAATGATAGTTTTAGCTCAAGTTAAAATAAATACAAATTCAACTATTTAAATTCCAATATATCTTAAGTGAGTGTAATTATAGTTCTCATGTAGCTGAACTCCCAAACAAAAACAATGATTTCTTTCACTTCACATCTCCTTCAATTCTCCTCTTACGGCTTGGTGGCTAACCTTCAAAGCCTTTCTAGGATGCATGCATCAATGGCGTCTTAAAAATAATCTAGGCGTAAATGAGGTGCAAGAAGAATTAAACACAACATATCTTAGCCAACAATGTGGCTAAGGAAGCTGAATGGCAAGTCTAGGCAGCTGGCAGTCAATTAACTATGACAGTTAGGTTATTCTCATATTATTTAATTCCAACTAAACTAAAAACATAGTTTTTTATCCCATGGCCTGCATATCTGTCTTGCACAGATCTAAAATCGTAAACATAGATTAAAAGTCATACTGCTTTCATCTAATTACTGGAATTATGTGATCTTGACTTGTGTCACTGTAGTTTCTAGTCTTGTTTATCGTTAACTCCATTTAGATCAACATGGATATCTTCCTTAATTTGGAATAGAATGTTTTGATTTCATGATAGATGATATTAAGTTGAGCCTCTTGTACACTGGCAGAGCAACATTAGTTCAAAATTGTTCAAATGAACACTTAGAATTCTGAAAAATATGTTAGCATAAATTTACAAATTTAGTTTTATTATTGGTTGTTCTTTCAAGTTTTAATTGTACTTGCAGAGAATGAACATCCAAAACTAGATCATAAATCTGCCACCGCTCTTGTATTAATATGTTATAAGATCAACATCAATTTTTGTTTTGGGTGAAATATAGGTTGTATTTCCGGTCGATCATTTGGTATATATTAAATTAAAGTTTAATATCCTCTAATTAATTTAACCAACCATTAAATTTAAACCACCAAAGTAGTTATGTGCAACTCAAAAAATCCACATGATAAACATTCGAAATTTTATTTCATCACATTATGTTTTAGGTATTTCATTTAATATAATTGAGTACATTTAATATAATTGAGTACATTTTCATGTCAGTCTTGCAAATTTGAAGCCTACCTATTTGTTGTTTGGTTCTTCCGTAGTGTTTCATAGTGCATATGACAATGTCTAAGTAACCCACCTTACATGGTAGGATATTCGGTGGTGGATCTAAGGGAGTATGGGGGACAAAGTGTCCCTACTCCTTGATCGTGAAAATTAGTAAGTGTACTTGGTGTTTAAGTTCGTGTAACTCTAAATCATTTTTACTTTATTTGTACTTTATCAATACAATATCAACCACATAAACTCTTTTTTCTCAATAAATGTGTCACTCTCTCATGTCACAATGTTAGTGGGACGGATGTAGTAATAGATTAATAGCTCTTAAATGTGTGCTGAAACTTATGTTCTGAAACATTGTTGCATTGGATAAGAAAAGTGCATTTTTATTAGAAATTAAAGCCAAGAGCAATACCGCTTTGATCTGCTGTATTTTCAAAATAGAACAACAACTTCTCGATAGAGTATTGACAATGAAATGGAGTGACGCACAGTCATTGCATCATATTGAACTACTGTTGCTTTTCTGCACCCTATGTCCAAAACTGAAGTTCTTATTTTAACTTTTGGTGCTCAATTCACTATAAAGTTAACCCTCCCCTAATACGGAGTAATATTTAAATTAGTATAACATATTTGAAATTACATAAAGGTCTATTGAATCACAAAACCGAATACGTACACACACTAAAAAATAACGTTTGTCACATTTTTGTTAAGGATTTGTGCCTCTGTCAAATATCCTAGTGAAAAATGCCTTTGTCTCAGGATTTGTCAAAGTTTTGTCCAAATTTGTTTATCTTTGTAAAATTCATGACAAAATCTTTGTCAAATTCATTTCTCACAAAAATATTAGTACAAAGTCATGAAAGAATCTATGTGAATTCTTGACAAACCATTGTCAAAAACTTGTTGCGTTTTGTATTGGAATTTGACAATAGTTTGAAGACTAATCATAAGAAGTATAAGAAATCGAATTATGTTGAGGGGAAGATGAAAAGACTTGAATTGAGCTTCATTTTGGGATGATGGTTGTATTACAATTCAAAGTTAAACTATAGCTACTAAAACAAAATGTTTCGCGATTCGTACGGAAGGACATAGCACTAGATCTCTTTTCATTTGTAAGTATGATTCAATTATAGTAAAATTAAACAATGTGATATCATAAAGTTTTAGTTAGAGTTCTTCTTTTATCTTTTAAACACTATTTTTTTTGTAAATATATCTCAAGATACTTAAACGTTGTTAAGGAAATACGGTAGATAGAATCCTAAAAGGCTAAAAACAGTGGGTAGGGACATGTAATAGGTTGTTACTCATTCAAAACATGCTTGATCTTGCTTGCTTTAGGTTTGTGTTCCTTGGGCTTTTGCTCTTCAGTTTTCTTCTTATCGGAGCCGCCTTCCTTTTGGTTGAGGAATGAACGGAAGAGCGGCGAGTTCACGTCGTAAATCATTGTTGTGAATCAGCTAACTTCTCAACTTTTCTTTAGCAAAACCATAATCTCTATTTAAAACAATATCATGTTCTTGATTAAAACAATTTATTAGATGGGTTGAGACATTTAGACATGACTGGAATCGGAAACTTGTAAATGTGATTCCAAATAAAAGTTTCAATCTGAACACCTGAACTACCTAAATTAGATCCGGATCATATCCCGCTCAAGTCCATTTGCTTCCTCATGAAAATAATTTCATGTTCTTTTGAAAACTATGAAAATAAAAATCAATTAATCTCTTCCTCGAAAATTCGAAATTATGCATTAATGAATATATTTGGAAAAATGTAAAAACGTGTTGCAGTAAGTTTAGTTGTTCTTTGATGAGTATAATATTTTGAATTGTTATGGACATTCAAAACTATGCTCGATGTAGCTCTACAAGTACTATTGAGCTCTGTTTATGCTTACTAGTAGGTAGTAAAATTGACACGAGTAATTATATTCTCATTTTTCTTTTATCATTATCTTTATTTCTAATTTTGTGTTTGTTAGCATTCACCTTCATGATTACCCTTTAAGTATAGAGAAAATTGCTTTCCGTAAGACTTAGAAAATTTATAAAAGTAGGACTTAGTTATTTTTTGTCCATGCATGTGTTTCATATAATTCAGTTTTAGGAAACCTTATTATTCCTTTTCATTTTTACCCCTCACTTTAGTACTCATCTTAAAATTAAAAAATACTCCCTTCGTCCCATTTTGGTTGTCCTACTTTCCTTTTTGGATTGTCCCAAAATGAATGTCTTGTTTCCTTTTTTGGATCAAATATGTGGTTCTTATCAATTCACTTTATTATACTCAAATCTCAACCACAACTTTTACTTTTCGACCACTTTATTAATAATCGTGCCAAATTGAAAGTGGACAACCATTATGGGACGCACTTCCTTAACTCTGGTCACCATCTCTCCCGTCTCATCGACAATATGGCCACACTCACCAGTACGAAAACGTTGCTCGGTGGGTCGGCAAGCTTGAAATCAACATGGTCTCTCCGAGCGTGAGTGGCGTGCAGGTGAACCACGGTGTTCATCACTCTCACTAAAGGTGTCGCATCCGCTTCACATGTTTGGCTCGAGCAAGTTTTAGCCAGATACATCAGCTATGTTTTGGTAAACCTTGGCTCTGGAGTC